CAGTAACCAGCTTCCCACCAAAAACCGTTAGAGAATTATCCGCAGAGCGGAAAAAATGGAGCTGGCTAAAAGTAAGCCGATGACCAGGTGCCCCTCCTGTTTACAGGAGGGGCACCTGGTCATCAAGTACCCCCCCGGGCGGGAAAAATAGATGGGGAAACAAGCGTCCTCAGGCGGAGCGAGACATTCACACCTGACGAAGGCTGGCGCAGAAGTCCCAGGTATTCACCTTTAGGTATACTCTTTCAGTGGGTAGAACGTTCCCTAAAACAATGTATCTGAACTAGATACTGAACCCCCTTGAGAGGTCAGACAGCCATAGTACACATCGGTCAGCAGACCAACTAGGGTCGTACACTACCACTAAATGGCTCTGACTATCGTACTTATAGCTGGCTTAGATTATTTGCAGGATTGTGGCTTTGTATTGCATGCGTCGCATATCGAGCGAGTATCTGCCCACAGGATGGGTATGGGGTGCATAATAAACATATTAAACTAACTGCAATACAACAACTACTACTACCAACACCACCACCACCAACTACTACTACTAGTTGCTGGACTATTCCCATATCATTTATCATAATTTAAATACAACAACATGGTCGTCTGTGGGAAAAAATATCATACAACACCTACAAATATGCTTAATTTTCATTCGTTACGAAAATTAGCGTATTTTAATTTTATATATAAATATATATATATATATATATATATATATATATATATATATATATATATATATATATATATAATATATATATATATATATATATAACTGGAATGGGGACCCTCATCCTCAGAGAAGACAATAAACGTACCTCAGGGAAAACTCAAGGTTCTCCCCGGAGCTGTTTGAATATTTTCTTCTCCTACCACCCCTATATATTTTTTATTCTATGTGAACATTTATTAATAAACAAAATACATTTACAGAAAAAAACATAAACATGAATACAATGGCACAATGTATCAAAGATGATGAATTTCCTCCAGCTCCTCCGAGGCTGGACGTGAGCCAAGTATGCAGCAAGCATTTCCCCTCTGGATGGCGACGCTGAGGCGCTGGAACATGAAAGTGGCTGCCCTTGGGTCCCTGGTGGTGTCGATGAGTCTGGAACCCAATTCTTTAAGGAAACGTGTGGCATTTTTTCCCCATGATCCCAAGGTCTCTGATCCCACTGGGACAAATTGATACTGTTGGCTAATGTCCCTGTACTTGCTGATCTTGTACTCCTCCCTGTGGTCAGCAGCTCCTCCCTGTCGCCCCACACTGTGATGGATATAGGTGTCAGCCAGTGTGGACACACAGGTATAGTCCCATGCTAAGAGCTTGCCATTTCCAAGGATAGATGGTGATCCCGTCGGGGCGGTTTGCTAGGGTTGTGGGTATTGTTTGCTGCAAGTGATCGTGGCTCCCTCTCGGCAGGGCATCCAGCTGTAGCAAGGGTTCTCTTAATGATGTCGTTGACCTCATTGTGTCTTGCATGCCAGCCCTTGGTTTTGGAACAGTTAAGACCATGTAGACCGTATTGGTCTGCTTGCACTTCGCCGCAAATACACATATATTCTGTTGTGAATTGGGGCAGCAAGGCGCAGAGCCACTGCAATACGGAGGGTCTTAGGGTCGAGTCGCGTTCCCATTGCCGATATGGGAACTGTTTGGAGGAAGTCCCCGGAGTGAGGTGCTCTCACAGCCTGGAGACGGGCAATCTCCCTATCTGATGTTGCAGCCCTGAGCATGTTGGCAAGCACCTTTTCAGCAATTGGGCTATCCCAGCTTGACTGTTTGTGAGCCAGTGCTGCACTAGGGTTTGGTGCTGGAGCAGCAAGAGTCTCCCATTCGGTGATGGCACTGGCATAGCTAGGGTCTTCTATTCCTGCTGAGTCACTGAGGGTGTCAGGAAGAATTTGTCTTATCAACTCGTTTGATGCAATGGAAGAGGATAGAAAGCTGGTAGAGCAATCTGGGAGGATCTGCGTACTCCTAGCCCTCCAAGCCTGACCGGAAGTGAGGCTTGCAACCACTGTCCATCGTCAAGGGAAAGATTCAATACACTCTCTAGCATGGCCTTCAGGAGAGAGTCATATTCCTTGAGTTTTGGACTGCTGAGGCTGAGGAGCATCTCAGAAAATAGGTAAGTTTTGGGGTTGACAGGCACCTGGTGAGTAGGTAGAAGGCATCGTGTGTGTCAATGTCTTTCATCTTGCTTTCCATCGTCCGGAGGTCTGAGACTTTTTTTTCCTAGGATCAGATCGATGGCATTGGACCCAAGAGGAGCACCGAGGAGAGTGCTATTGGCTGGATCAATGGCTCGTGCTCCTGGTAAAACGGTACTAATATTCTGGATCAACTGTTGATTGGTAGAAACTATTTCACATTTGGTGGGGTTTAAAGAAAGGCCCAGGCTTTCTCCCATGTCTTTAATTTTACTGATGTCCTCCAGGAGAGATTCTGTTGTGCCAGCTAGGGTGCCGTCGTCCAGGAACCAGATATTGAGCTCGCTGGAGAGTGCCTCCGTGACTTCCTTGATGACCAAACAAAATAGAAAGGGGACGAGAGGGTCCCCCTGTTGCACGCCCTCACACCAGTCAATTTCATGGTCCCCAAACAATAGTTTGGAAGTCACACTATAACACGATTCTATGAAGGATAAAGGGAAGGGAAGTTTCTATAAACTGCTTGGAGAGCAGCATCCCTTCTGACTGAGTTGAAAGCATTGGCAAAGTCCAATTTGACCAAGGCTTTTTCATAGGACATGTTTTTGATATATACTCGTGCTGCGTGGGCAGCTGCTTCACAGCCCTGTTGAACGCCGAAACCGAGCTGAGTTGGTTTCAGCATTGCAGCAGCCTCTTGACTCACCCTTCTTACTGCAGCCTTGGCGACTAGGCGCCGAAGGGTGTTACCCACTGCAATGGGCCTGATTCCGCCATCCGTTTTTCTGGAGGGCACACAATGAGGCACCAAAGAAAAAGGGTCTGATGGCCTCTGGGACACCGCCAGCCAGGCACAGGTTGGAAATTTGGTGAGTTCAGACAGCAGCCTCTCTGAAACCTCACCAAGTGCTGGATGAGTATTTGTTTTAAGTGTTGAGGCCTTAAACCGGTGAAACCTCCTGCTGAACCCTGTAGGAAATGACATAGCAGCTTTATACACATCAGCATCTGTAAGGTTAGATGTTCTTGCCTGCTGCAATGTCAGGGAGGTCAATGTTGGTACTGGGAGCCCTGGGTGGATGTTTGTCCTTCAGAGCTTGCGCCGTGCTGACGTCCTTGGGAGCGATGGTATCCTCACTGGTTATAAGTCTCAAAGCTCCAATAGTATTACCCTCTTCTATTTTTTTTGCTAATTTGGGCTCTGATTTTTGAGGTGTCGGGTGTCCTGTTGTTGGCATTTGCCCGGCGGGTGTTTGTCGCCCTAGGGGGGAGACGGACGAGGTTGTCATTCCTTGGGAATGCATTTATTGCCCTAATAACATGTGTTGCTAGTGACTTGTCCCTCCTTGGTGGGACAGCCAAACAGGCATTGCCAAAAAGCAGCAAGTTGTGCCAGGATCTGTTGTTTGAAGGAGCATCGTTGACTTTCTTCAGAAGGTCAGTGAATTTGCTAGCAGCTTGAGGGCGAGCTGCTTTGGGGATGTGTGTCAGAGTCTTGGTGGATGTTAATTTGATTGCAGATTTGAGGTCCTCTGTAGAGGTGAAGTCACGGTAGCTGTCAGCCCTGTCTGCTGGGGGAGGCTGTTGGTTGTTCTCATTTGGAGCTCTCCTGGAGCCTAGACATCTATTGTGTGCACGGATGTTGCCAGATGTGGGATTGAGTGCACATTCCCTGTGGCACACCCGGCAAATGCCTCGTGAACGACAGCTTTGGCTCTGTCGTGAAGATTCCTGGGAACCCGCGACTACTTGTGACATTGCTGATATCGTGGGGGTGGGAGGGCGCCAGCTGTGGGGTGACGGGTGAAGGGCAGCATGGATGCATGGGGGATGAGGGTGGGGGAGTAGCGAGCGGCGGAACTTGTAATTGGTGGGGCACTAAACGGCAACACCCTTGGTCAGGAAGTCAGTGGGCCTAGGCCCAGAATTAAATGTCACAAAATTAATATACAGTTTACTAATGATAAAAACACAAACGTTAAGTTGTCTCTCACTGAATCAAAAACAATGAAAAAATACACAAATTACGAAGGTAAAGCAAAGTTAAGGTAGACCAATACACAAGAACAGCACTAGATGACTCAGCTCGTAACGTTACAGGCTCTTAGCCACAATGATCAAAGGTTACGTGAATAACTTTCGTAGGTATAGATAACTCTTGGATGTAGCTGCAGGTCACCACCAGACACATCATAAACAGTCACCAGTGTGATGAAAGGTAAGAGCTCTTAATGAGAGGTGCACGACAATCAACACGGTGTAAATTGAGGAAGCAGGCTAGTGTTGAACCTAAGCTTGCGGGAGTCTCGGAGGTGATGAGTGAGTACAGACACAGCTCACACAATGACTCAGCCTCACACACGCATAGCAACCTTGCCACAAAGATGAAGGTGAAGATTGGATAGATTAAATCCATTTTTTTTGCCGAAGTCTGCAACTCAGGTGATCTCACTGACTACAGAAGAGGCACACCGCAGTTACCAACATGATTCACTTACTCGATAAGACAAAGTCTTTAAAATGACGGGGTGAAAGATATTTCTTTCACCCTGTTACGTCAAAACTGGTTCCACAAATCCAGGTAACAGCTGTAAAAATAAAAGACAACAATAATACAGAGGTACGAATACCTACAACCGTCAGAGAACTGGGTAGCTAAGTGACTTCCTGACGATGCCCAGTCCCCACATATCACCTCCCCCTCCCTAGAGGGTAGTTATTGTAAGAGGCTGGTAAGCGGCCCCTGGCATCTGCATACCTCCGTAACAATTGCTTCACGCTTACGAACGACCCACACCAGTAATATACACTCACCCAATAATATGTACAACAGCATGAACCGTTCTCAGAATCGTAACTTAGTTATTCTTGTGAGAGTAACAGCTCTTAGCCTGTAAGTTAGTTACTCATGAGGCAGAGTAACATTATGGGAACCCCACAGTTAGCTCCTACACTTTTCTACAGGTTCGTATCATTCATTGTGAGAAACCAGGGAGTGACAATGTCAGGGGATCTTACAGTCAAGGACCACAACAATGTTATCGCAAACCGCGAGAAAAATGAAAAGGCTGGGTAATGTTCTGTACATTATGTATGTCATACCCTTTAAGCCGAATTGATGAGGTTGGCTTATTCGGCAAAGGTGCACTTTGCCGAATTAGCAGAATGAAAGTTTGTGTTCGCCATAAATTAGCGGAAATCGATCTGAGAATAACGAAAAAATATAACTAATTTTAAGTGATATGAAACAAATTTAAATTAACCTGCGATAACACACACACACACACACACACACACACACACACACACACACACACACACACACACACACACACACACACACACACACACACACACACACTGCTGCAGCATATGGGCGCCTAGCAAACCTCAGAACAGCATTCCGACATCTTAATAAGGAATCGTTCAGGACCCTGTACACCGTATACGTTAGGCCCATATTGGAGTATGCGGCACCAGTTTGGAACCCACACCTAGCCAAGCACGTAAAGAAACTAGAGAAAGTGCAAAGGTTTGCAACAAGACTAGTCCCAGAGCTAAGAGGTATGTCCTACGAGGAGAGGTTAAGGGAAATCAACCTGACGACACTGGAGGACAGGAGAGATAGGGGGGACATGATAACGACATACAAAATACTGAGAGGAATTGACAAGGTGGACAAAAACAGATGTTCCAGAGATTGGACACAGTAACAAGGGACACAGTTGGAAGCTAAAGACACAGATGAATCACAGGGATGTTAGGAAGTATTTCTTCAGCCACAGAGTAGTCAGTAAGTGGAATAGTTTGGGAAGCGATGTAGTGGAGGCAGGATCCATACATAGCTTTAAGCAGAGGTACGATAAAAGCTCACGGCTCAGGGAGAGTGACCTAGTAGCGATCAGTGAAGAGGCGGGGCCAGGAGCTCGGACTCGACCCCCGCAACCTCAACTAGGTGAGTACAACTAGGTGAGTAAAACACATATATATATAATATATATATATAATATATAATTATATATATATATATATAATATATATATATATCAGAATTTAGATAAACAAATTGCGTTAGTTTAAGGGAGGTTAGGCGAGGTTTCTAAGTTTTAGTGCAAAAATAAAAATCTATATCTCACTGTCACTGAAAAAATGACCTAACTACCTGTAAAAGAATTTTTGGGAAAGTTTATTTTTAAAGGAGTTCGGCCTATTAGGTACGACATATATATATATATATTATATATATATATATATATATATTATATATTATATATATATATATATATATATATATAATATATATATAATATATATATATATATAAAATATATATATGTCGTACCTAATAGGCCGTGTGTGTGTGTGTGTGTATACACGTACTTAATACGTAGCAACAAACCTGACTGAGATATATCCTCCTCCCACAGCGTCACAGTGTTCAGTGACACAGGTGACGTGTTGACGGGGATCTGTGCTGAGCCTTGTGACGGTAACTTGGAGTGTCCTGATGGCTCTGACGAGACTAAAGAACTCTGCAGCAGCAAACCTTGCAGGTGAACTCTACTTACTCTCCTCTATACACTTACATTCTGTACTGTTCCCTGAAGATCCCCTATATAATAATAACAATAATAATAATATGTAGTAATAATTTTAATAATGGGGAAGCTCTGACCCGCAGGGGTCATACAGCCCTTGGAGAGTGAGAGGTAATTACGTGTTGATCCATGGAAGAGGCGAGTAGCTCCAGTTCCCCGGATCTAAAGCTCTGTAAAGAATTTAGATGACTGTTTTTTTGGGGGTGGTTCACTTGCACGGGTTAATTACCCTGGTGAAAGGTTCCTGATCCAAGGAGTTGGAACTCCTTCGATCAAGCTTGATTTCTTCAAAGTCCCCAGGCGCTGTGTGAGCCTTACAGGTTTAGCGCTGGGCTGAGACTGATCTTGCTTGTGATTTACATTTTTTTTTTGTAGCGTATCTTTCTCTTGTTAAAAGGACGGAGGATGGAGCCTACATTCTCTTTTTTAATCCTATCTTTCTCGGACGGAGGATGAAGCCTACATTTTTTTTTTAGCCTATCTCTCTTAAAGGACGGTTGATGACGCTTTCCTTAATGTTGAGCTGTTACCCACACGAGTTTTAGTTTCAGTTGTATATAAAATAACAGAACTGATGTTGCCTTGTGTAGAAATGCATGAATGATTATAATTCTTACTCAGACTTGCTCTCCAAAGTGCATATTAAAGAAAAAATATATATCAAAATCCTACAGCACTACATGCAAGCCTACTGGCCCATGATAGCAGGTTCAACTCACCCACTCATGTTTTTAAAGTCATTTAGTAAGAAGTTTCGTTCAGCAGGCGGGCGAAACGTCTTCTTAATATCATAGATCGCATATTGTATCTCATTCAAATCCTATTCTTGAATATTTCAGTGAAGGCCAGACGGGAGGTGGCATAGATTTGGGAGATTTACTGGGGGATGCCAAGTCTTCCGTCACCGGCAAGTTCCGCTGTGCTTACGGGGGATGTATCTCACACAACTTCCTCTGTAATGGCCACAGAGATTGCTGGGATCAATCAGATGAAACACCTGATCAGTGCTTATCTAAAAAGTGAGTTTCAACATAAACTATGTAAACTAATAATAATTTTTGAACGGTGTTTCGTTGATAGTACTTTTTTTTTTCTGGAAATTCGGTAGCCTCATGGTGATCCGTAGCTGGAGCTTTTGGCCATCTGAACGAGATCTTCCGCTGGCTTACCAGTCCTCCTATTTAAAAATTATAGTCTTGTACACTACCAGTTAAATATAGTTTAATCGCTGATATAAGGATTAAAGTCTAAGTGTATAAGAATTATATACAAAAGATTACCTCATCTTTTGTATATAATTCTTCACATTATATCCTAGTATTGTATTGATAAAGCCACTGGATGGCGAAACATCTACAAATATAGATACGCAGGTGTTGCAAATGTGTCTAATTCTGCATATGAGTGTACAATCAGAGGTGGGCAAGTGCTTCAATAAGAAGAGCCAAACATAACACTTTTCATACATTTTTGAATGTTCAACAGCCACAGAAAATATCATTTTACAATTGTATTAATAAATAATAAAAAAATACAGTTACATAGTAGTCCTACTTACTAAAGCAGAATATTTCATCTCTGCTCCGCCGCATCATCATCTGGCCGAGACTAGACCGGCGAACCTACTACAGAAGACCCGGGCCGAGACTAGACCGGCGAACCTACTACAGAAGACCCGGGCCGAGACTAGACCGGCGAACCTACTACAGAAGACCCGGGCCGAGACTAGACCAGCGAACCTACTACAGAAGACCCGGGTCGAGACTAGACCGCGAACCTACTACAGAAGACCCGGGCGAGACTAGACGGCGAACCTACTACAGAAGACCCGGGCCGAGACTAGACCAGCGAACACTACAGAAGAACGGGCGAGACTAGACCGGCAACCTACTACAGAAGACCGGGCCGAGACTGACCGGCGAACCTACTACAGAAGACCGGGCGAGACTAGACCAGCGAACCTACTACAGAAGACCCGGGCCGAGACTAGACGGCGAACCTACTACAGAAGACCGGGCCGAGACTAGACCGGCGACTACTACAGAAGACCCGGCCGAGACTAGACCGGCGAACCTACTACAGAAGACCGGGGCGAGACTAGAACAGCGAACTACTACAGAAGACCGGGCCGAGACTAAGCCGGCAAACCTACTAAGAAGACCCGGGCCGAGACTAGACCGGCGACTACTACAGAAGACCCGGGCCGAGATAGACCGGCGAACCTACTACAGAAGACCCGGGCCGAGACTAGACCGGCGAACCTACTACAGGAAAACCGGGCCGAGACTAGACCGGCGAACCTACTACAGAGACCCGGCCGAGACTAGACGGCGAACCTACTACAGAAGACCCGGGCCGAGACTAGACGCGACCTACTACAGAGACCCGGGCAGACTAGACGGCGAACCTACTACGGAGACCCGGGCCGAGACTAGACCGGCGAACCTACTACAGAAGCCCGGGCCGAGACTAGACCGGCGAACCTACTACAGAAGACCCGGGCCGAGACTAGACCGGCGAACCACACAGAAGACCCGGGCGAGACTAGACCACGAACCTACTACGAAGACCGGCCGAGACTAGACCGGCGAACCTACTACAGAAGACCCGGGCGAGACTAGACGGCGAACCTATACAGAAGACCAGGCCGAGACTAGACCGGCGAACCTACTACAGAAGACCTGGGGCGAGACTAGACCGGCGAACCTATCAGAGACCCGGCCGAGACTAGACCGGCGAACCTACTACAGAAACCCGGGCCGAGACTAGACCGGCGAACCTACTACAGAAGACCCTGGCCGAGACTAGACCGGCGAACCTACTACAGAAGACCCGGCCGAGACTAGACGGCGAACCTACTACAGAAGACCGGGCCGAGACTAGACCGGCGAACCTACTACAGAAGACCGGGCAGACTAGACCAGCGAACCTACTACAGAAGACCCGGGCCGAGACTAGACCGCGAACCTACTACAGAAGACCCGGGCGAGACTAGACCGGCGAACCTACTACAGAAGACCGGGCAGACTAGACCGGCGAACTACTACAGAAGACCGGGCCAGACTAGACGGCGAACCTACTACAGAAGACCCGGGCCGAGGACTAGACCGCGAACCTACTACAGAAGACCCGGGCGAGACTAGACCGGCGAACCTACTACAGAAGCCCGGCCGAGACTAGACCGGCGAACCTACTACAGAAGACCCGGGGCGAGACTAGACCGGCGAACCTACTACAGAAGACCCGGGCCGAGACTAGACCGGCGAACCTACTACAGAATACCCGGGGCGAGACTAGACCGGCGAACCTACTACAGAAGACCCGGGCCGAGACTAGACCGGCGAACCTACTACAGAAGACCCGGGCGAGACTAGAACCAGCGAACCTACTACAGAAGACCCGGGCCGAGACTAGACCAGCGAACCTACTACAGAAGACCCGGGCCGAGACTAGACCGGCGAACCTACTACAGAAGACCCGGGCCGAGACTAGACCAGCGAACCTACTACAGAAGACCCGGGCCGAGACTAGACCAGCGAACCTACTACAGAAGACCCGGGGCGAGACTAGACCGGCGAACCTACTACAGAAGACCCGGGCCGAGACTAGACCAGCGAACCTACTACAGAAGACCCGGGCGAGACTAGACCGGCGAACCTACTACAGAAGACCCGGGCCGAGACTAGACCGGCGAACCTACTACAGAATACCCGGGGCGAGACTAGACCGGCGAACCTACTACAGAAGACCCGGGCCGAGACTAGACCGGCGAACCTACTACAGAAGACCCGGGGCGAGACTAGACCAGCGAACCTACTACAGAAGACCCGGGTCGAGACTAGACCAGCGAACCTACTACAGAAGACCCGGGCCGAGACTAGACCGGCGAACCTACTACAGAAGACCCGGGCCGAGACTAGACCAGCGAACCTACTACAGAAGAACCGGGCCGAGACTAGACCGCGAACCTACTACAGAAGAACCCGGGCCGAGACTAGACCGGCGAACCTACTACAGAAGACCCGGGCCGAGACTAGACCAGCGAACCTACTACAGAAGACCCGGGCCGAGACTAGACCGGCGAACCTACTACAGAAGACCCGGGCCGAGACTAGACCGGCGAACCTACTACAGAAGACCCGGGCCGAGACTAGACCGGCGAACCTACTACAGAAGACCCGGGGCGAGACTAGAACAGCGAACCTACTACAGAAGACCCGGGCCGAGACTAGACCGGCAAACCTACTACAGAAGACCCGGGCCGAGACTAGACCGGCGAACCTACTACAGAAGACCCGGGCCGAGACTAGACCGGCGAACCTACTACAGAAGACCCGGGCCGAGACTAGACCGGCGAACCTACTACAGGAAAACCCGGGCCGAGACTAGACCGGCGAACCTACTACAGAAGACCCGGGCCGAGACTAGACCGGCGAACCTACTACAGAAGACCCGGGCCGAGACTAACCGGCGAACCTCAAAAGAAGACCCGGGCCGAGACTAGACCGGGGAACCTACTACGGAAGACCCGGGCCCCAGACTAGACCGGCGAACCTACTACAGAAGACCCGGGCCGAGACTAGACCGGCGAACCTACTACAGAAGACCCGGGCCGAGACTAGACCGGCGAACCTACTACAGAAGACCCGGGCCGAGACTAGACCACCGAAACCTACTACAGAAGACCCGGGCCGAGACAGACCGGCGAACCTACTACAGAAGACCCGGGCCGAGACTAGACCGGCGAACCTACTACAGAAGACCCAGGCCGAGACTAGACCGGCGAACCTACTACAGAAGACCTGGGGCGAGACTAGACCGGCGAACCTACTACAGAAGACCCAGGCCCAGACTAGACCGGCGAAAACCCACTACAGAATACCCGGGGCGAGACTAGACCGGCGAACCTACTACAGAAGACCCTGGCCGAGACTAGACCGGCGAACCTACTACAGAAGACCCGGGCCGAGACTAGACCAGCGAACCTACTACAGAAGACCCGGGCCGAGACTAGACCGGCGAACCTACTACAGAAGACCCGGGCCTAGACTAGACCAGCGAACCTACTACAGAAGACCCGGGCCGAGACTAGACCAGCGAACCTACTACAGAAGACCCGGGGCGAGACTAGACCGGCGAACCTACTACAGAAGACCCGGGGCCTAGACTAGACCAGGAACCTACTACAGAAGACCCGGCCTAGACTAGAACCAGCGAACCTACTACAGAAGACCCGGGCCGAGACAGACCAGCGAACCTACTACAGAAAACCCGGGCGAGACTAGACCGGCGAACCTACTACAGAAGACCCAGGCCGGGGACTAGACCCGGGGAACCTACTACAGAATAAACCCGGGGCGAGACTAGACCGGCGAACCTACTACAGAATACCCGGGCCGAGACTAACCGGCGAACCTACTACAGAATACCCTGGCGAGACTAGACCGGCGAACCTACAAAAGAAGACCCGGGCCGAGACTAGACCGGCGAACCTACTACAGAAGACCCGGCCGAGACTAGACCAGCGAACCTACTACAGAAGACCCGGCCGAGACTAGACCAGCGAACCTACTACAGAAGACCCGGGCCGAGACTAGCCCGGCGAACCTACTACAGAAAAACCCGGGCCGAGACTAGACCAGCGAACCTACTACAGAAGACCCGGGCCGAGACTAGACCAGCGAACCTACTACAGAAGACCGGGCGAAAACTAGACCGGCGAACCTACTACAGAAGACCGGCCGAGACTAGACCACAAACCTACTACAGAAGACCCGGGGCGAGACTAGACCGGCGAACCTACTACAGAAGACCCGGGCCGAGACTAGACCAGCGAACCTACTACAGAAGACCCGGGGCGAGACTAGACCGGCGAACCTACTACAGAAGACCCGGGCCGAGACTAGACCAGCGAACCTACTACAGAAGACCCGGGCCGAGACTAGACCAGCGAACCTACTACAGAAGACCCGGGGCGAGACTAGACCGGCGAACCTACTACAGAAGACCGGGCCGAGAC